AAACCCACCAAGGCTCCCTAACTATCACACAGGAAACCATAAATATGCTTACAAGGTTTATCTATGGGTACAAAAGACAAAAATTTTACCACTGCATTACTTGCAAGCCTCATACTCCAGCTATTTTGCTTCATCTAATGTTTCTTTGGAGCCCTGGTGGCACAGTGGTTAAGAGTTCAGCTGCAAACCAAAAAGTAACCTGTTCCCCAGCTGCTCCTTGGAAACCCTATGGGGCAGTTCTACTCTGTCCTGTAGGGTCACTATGAGTTGGAATCAACTTGACTGCAATGGGTAATGTTTCTTTTGCCTTTCACCATTACACAAGTCCCCACTGGAGGGCAGCAAATACTTTCGGTGGTAAAAGAATATTCCTAAAGAACCTGAGAGCCGGAAAAAGTGGATGGTATACCATATATATCACAGGTCATGAAAGAAAGGTGAACCCAAACTTTAACTACTTTGGACAAGAGGTGTTACTTCGTTTAGTTGGTGTATGAGAAATAAACATAGAAGGGATGTTTATTTGTTTATTTTTAAATTTTATTAGAGCTGAGCATTTTGAAAATTAATTCAAAGTGCATTATTTTGAGCAAAGACAGCATAGAGAGTGGATAATTAATCAGGTATTGGAATAGGGTAGCTGAGAAGTAGTGAGAATCTGAATTAGAATTTCAGTGGTAGAAGAGGAAAGATTGTCTTAGAAAGGATAACTGCCCTGTTGAGATGTTTGAATTGGATGGTGCCTACCTAGATTTACTTAACTTTAAATTTGCATGGATTTATAACTCCGATTTGCGATAAATCTTCACTGTAATTTAAATAAAGGTCCTTGTGGGAACAGTAATGGTTAAATATGAGTTCCTTTGGAACATACAAGTTTAAGCATGGTTTTTTGAATCTGCTTTGTTTTCACACTATAGATGATGGGGTTCATCACAGGAGGGATCAGCAAGTATATACTAACAATGAGGGTGGGCACATATGGTGGAGCATGTTTACCAATGCTGTGAACAAAAGACAGGCTGATCAAAGGTATGTAGAACATGGCTACAGCAGTGACATGAGAGATGCAGGTGCCGAAGGCCTTTTTCCTCTCCTCTGGGGATGCCATGCTGAGAACTGAGCAAATGATCAAGACTTAAGAGAGCAAGATAAAAATGGAATCCACTCCAGCAGTAGAGATAATTGCAGTTAGTCTAAAAGCACTATTGATCTTTGTGTTTGAACATAAGAGCTTCATCACATCAGGGTGAAAGCAGTGGGAGTGATGGAGCACATGGCTGTGGCAGAATGACAGATACTTAAGAAGAAGGACTAATGGTATCAGAATCACAGTCCCCCTTGTAATAACTGCCACACCAATCTGTGCAATCCTTGCATGAGTTAGGATGGTAGCATATCTCAAAGTGTTAGAAATGGCCACAAACCGGTCAAAGGCCATAGCCAGGAGCATTGAAGATTCCATGAAAGTGAAGAGGTGAATGAAGAACATCTGGGATAAGCAAGCATTAAAGCTAATCTCCCTGGCATTCAGCCAGAATATTCCCAGCACTGTTACCAGGGTAGAGATGCATAAGCCAATGTCAGTGGTAGACAACAAGGAGAGGAAATAATACATGGGCTCATGAAGGATAGGCTCAGTGAAGACTACAAACAGGATCAAGGTGTTCTGACAAAGGGCAGTTAAATAGAGGCAGCAGAAGGGGATGGAGATCCAGACATGAGCCCATTCAATTCCGGGGACCCCTGTAAGAAAGAAGCAGGGAGAGGTAGAGTTATAGAAGATTGACATTGTGGTCTGCAGGAACAGAATTCTCTTGTAAGATCTTGACTTTCTAAAATTAGAATTTAAATATTATTTGTAGTTGAGGTTAAATACACATTCAGTAAAGTCAAAAAAACTTAGGAGTACAGCTCAGTGAAGTTTTACATCTGTATGCACGCACGTAACCACTTCCAAGATCAACTGATGGAGCATTATTAGCAAACCAAATGCTTCCTAATGCCCCATCCTTGTCAATGTCCCCTAGGATGGTAGCCATTATCCTGACTTCATTACCATGATTAATTTAGCCTGTTCTTGATCGTTATATAAATGGAATCATGCAGCATATTACTCTTTAGTGTCTGGCTTCTTTCACTCGATACAATGTCTGTGAGATTTATCACTGATATATTTAAATCAGTTCAATTTAATTTTAATTAATTTAACAAAATTTGTTTGGTGTTTATTATTTTCAATCTTGTATTCTTATCAATCATTTTTGGATTAATTTTTTATCCTTCAACTAAATTATAAACTTAACGTTTATCAATATCATCTCATGAGAGTAGGGGGTTATTTAGCTAATCTTTGTTTAGCAGAGTTGTTTGTTCACAGTAAATATTCATTATGTATTTGCCAATTGGTTTCTATTTTATTTGTCCTTCCTGAAATTTTCTGTTTATCCATAATTAGAAATTAAAAATTTACCCTGTTTAGGAAGAAGAGAAACATCCTGGGGTCACTATGAGTCAGAATTGGCTCGATGGCACCCAGCAACAACAACGTAAACCTAAAGAATGCACCCCAGTTAATGTCTGTTCGTCCTGCCTCACTATATGTGTTTACTAAAAGAAAGATGCTTCAGTTCCTATAAGTCTGAAGCTTAATATTCTTCTTAATTTATAAACCTAAAGTACTGCTTTGTTTAACATTATGGAACTTGCCTCTGCTGTCGGAAAAATAAAGTGGCAAATAATCTTTCTTTTCAACACGCATTGCTGGCCCTTAATCTGTTCTTTGATCTCTTGGATATATAATGTTGTGTGAATGATCAAACCATGTTCCATATAATATCTCAAGTATTTTATACAGATTATTTCTTTTAAGTCTCATGACAAACCTATAGAGTGGTATTATTATTACAAATGCATATATTGAGGTTTAGAAGTTTAGGTAAATTCTCCAAGATCATAATACCTGTAGGAGATAAAGCATGGAATCAGTCAGAGAAAATGTGACTTTAGAGCTTGTGCTATTAACAACTACACTACATTCTAATTCTACTTCAATTAATCCTAATATAATTCTGTATCAATACATAAGACTAATGTGAGAGAGACAGCTATGTGTATAAATATATAAAATTTTTATGTTTTATAGTTGAAACAATTTTATTTCATCATTGCATATGTATTGCATGATATGTAAATAAATTAATGAGGCTTATTTTTAGCAAATAACAAGTTTTTAAGCATAGTATTGGGTGTTATAATTAAAATTAATCCATTGTGGAAATAATATTCATTCTAATAATGAAACTATTACTCAAAATATTAAAAAAATGTTTTTTTAAAAATTCCTTTAGAAGCCATCCGAGATGATTTTCATTAAGTATGTCCATTTGTGTATAGTTTCTATTACCTAATTTGACGGCATAGATTATGCATCAGGATGAAAATTAGTTTGACTGTTTCTCCAAAGATAATGTCTATTTCTTCATGCTTTCAATTCTATAGACATTTTATGGTCTACAGCTTTTATTTATTTAGTTTCCTACTTTAAAGTACTTACCTTTATTTCAGACCAATCTCATAATATTAAAT